ATTATATTTATTTAATATGATATTATAATTAAAAACTTACAGTTTTACTTGGTATTATAATTATTACATTGCTCAAGTATAATAAGGGAGTGTTTATGGTATTTTTACATTAAGGACTTGTTTGCTTAGAGGCTAATTTCATTGAGAAAGTATTACTTGAAAAGTTAAAAAGTATTATACATGAAGATTTTAAATTTTATTAAAAAAAATTGTTGAAATTGTGAATTTTTTTATATTTAATAAAAAATTGATATCAAGAAAATTAATAAAAAGATATTGAATGAGTTTCATATTAAAAAAGAGTTAGGGAGAATTTTTTCCTTTAAAATTTATGAAAAAGAATTATTTATTGATAATTATGTCACAAAAAATAAAAATAAAAATTTATTTTATAGTATTAAGATATAAAAATACTAAGATAACCGTAAAAAATAAGGAGAAAAGTTGGGTGAAAACTCGACTAAATGCGCCCTATTTCTTTTCTTTTCTTTTCTTTTCTTTTTTTAAGTTGTATAATTCTCACTTACCCATTGGAACCTCAATTACCACGAACTTATAAGGAAAATTGTTGACCAGATGTTACACTTTTTGATAATTAGCCCCTAAAGAAAGGGGTGGAATTTCATTAGAAGTCAATACTTTAGGGTTCCACTCGGTTCTGTCTTGCACTTGCGCCTTTAATGGGACCATTTTTCCCAACTTTCCAATTCCAAGAATTCCAAAGACCCACTTTTATGTTTTTCCAATTACTTTTGCAGCATTCAGAAATTTCGAAGACCAACTTTAACCTGTTTCCAAGAAATTTTCCCGAGTCAAGGTCAACCGTTACTATTCAAGGGTGCGTAAATAGAAAACTGATCAATGTACTAATTCTGTCCGTACATTAAAACTGTGATGAAAAAAATGAGTTTTATTTATTTATTTGTTATATAGAAGTTGTAATATCATATTTTTAATTAAAAGGAAAAGATATCTTAAGAAACATTTCAATAATTAAGAATTTGAGTATTTATGTTGCATATTTTAAATTCTAATCTTAAGATAAACAAAAAAATATTTGTAATTGAATGGACTATTATTTATTATTTAACTTATCATTTAATGTAAAAAAAAATTAAAAGCATAAGATTTATTAATAACCAAAAAATTACATATAGAAATCTCCATGATTGAAGCTAGACTTGTAGCACTAACTATGGAACTATGTACATGACGAAAATGTGGATAATTTGAAAGGTGAATTAGTGGTGAGGTTATCTATTCACTTTAATTAGATTAGAATGCTCATTATCATTTTAATTTCACTAAAGTAATGGTAATGGAATTTCAATAGCCGATTGAAACTATACCTATAGTAGAAATGTGCATATGATAAAAATGCGAACAATTTTAATAAAATGGGCGGGAAAGTTATCTTTTTATTATAATTAGATTAAAATACCCAATTCATAATCTAAAATATTCGTCTTGATTTAACCATAATAATAGTAATGGAATCTGTATAAGTTGATCGAAACTATACTTATAGCATAAATATGCACATGACCAACATGTGAACAATTTGAATGGTAAATAGGTTGCGAAGTAATCTATTCATTATAATTAGACTAAAATATCCATTTCATTTTCTAAAATGGTTCGTCTTGATTTAACTATAAGAATAGTAATATTATTTATATAGGTAGGATGGAGTTAAACCTAGAGCAGAAATATGCACATCAAGAAAATGTGGACTATTTCAACTTCGTAAAGAGACGAATCTCAACTACTCAAGCTTCTTTCCCAAGCGCTAGTTTGAAGCAAAAATCAAAAATAAAAAATTGAAATATTTCAAACTCAGAAAATTGGACTAATTAATCTCGAGCTACAGCTTGATTTGCAAAATCGAATCCATGCATATCTCACTTAGTCACTTTCATTTCCTCCACTATCGTGGCACCTGCCGCTTAAGGGGTATTAAACTCTTAGCAATTATCAGAGTTCTGTTTGTTGCAATTACAACTAAATTATCCCTTTTCTCTCAAAATTCTTTATGTTCAAAAAAAAAAAAAAAAAAAAAATTTTCCCCCACCATCGTGACTTTCTGTAGTCTTCCTTTTTTATCAACACGACTTTCTGTAGTCTTGTTACCTTGTCTTTGGATGAGGTGCATATTTATCATAAAAAATATATATTTTTAATTTGAATTACATGATAAAAATGTAATTTAAATTATAAATTCATTAAAATATTTTTAATAAAACTCTCTTTACCTATTAACTTATTAAAAGTATTTTAATAAATTTAATGCTTGTGTTGTCCACACGGAAAGAAGAGGGTTGTCATCTATTATATATAATAAACGATCAAAGCATAACTTAAAATCATTAATGAGCTTAAATGGTAAACTTCAAGTATTGGATTTATTAATAATCAAATATGGTCATACAAGTTAAATTTAAATTAAAATTTAAAAAAATTAATTTTTTTAAATATATTAAACCAATATAAAAAATGTGCCGTTAAGATTTCCGTTATAAAAGATGAATTGGTTATGTGATATCAAAATATTTTAAAAAACGTTTATAATAAATTAAAAGAAAAAAAGTGACTAGACTGCAAAATTGCTCTGTAATAGTATTAATTTAAATAGTACATAAAACTCATGAGAAAGAATTTTGTAGTTCATTAAATTTTGTTCGGTTCAAATTGAAATTAATTAATAGTTTATTGGGTTTCTAAAAACGCAGTGGTCAAAAAGAATTAAATAGTGCGCGTTTTGACTGAGATGGGTCTCTAGACTGTGTCGTGCTCAGCTAAAACACATATGATGGGATTTTTATCTATGAGTTCACACTTGAAGACGAAGAGCAGCGTCCCCACTCGACAGATAAAAACAGCATATTGAAATTGAATTACGGTGAAGCAATGGCACAAGTCATTTTCAAATTTCTTTTTTTTTTTGGTTTCTTTCTTTTAATTTATTTATGGGGTTCGTCTCTAAAATTTCTAACGTTGACCTGTGCTACACGTGACCGAAATTTTCCATACAAGAATGTCTAAGTTCACACGCTACTGCTATGTATGTATAATATGCTAATAAATAGGCCGTTGAGAGTTACATCGCGGAAGGAACATGGTCACGCGCGACCTCGCATATGAGTTTCCAATATTTTGTCATCCTTTTCCACGAAGAAGTTGAACGGTTTGAGTTGAACATTTATTTTAAAAAAGTTTAACTCTTTGGTCTTTTAATTATTGTACAAAACTTAGATTTAATCTTTAAATTAAAAAATTCTTAATTTGATCTCTATTGTTTAGCTATTTGACCCAAGTTGATTCTTCTGTATAAAAAGTAAATGGCATTTCTCATTATTAACGTGACTTAAAGTCATAAAATAACGATTTTATATTATTAAGTAATGAATATATGAACTATTTTTAATGGAAAGACTAACTTGAGATCAAATTAATAAACAGTTGATACCAAATTAAAGATTTTTTTTTTAGTTTAGGAACTAAATCAGAGGTCTGTATAATGAAAATTTTTATTTTAATAAATAGAATTATAAATTTTTATTAATTTTATAATAAAATTTTTAAATTTATTTAATTAAATAACATTATAATATTTTCCTCATTCTCTCCCCCTTTTATTTTAAACTATCTAAATAAAATTATCGCTGATCCTTTCATTGCATTCTCTCTCATTCCTTCTCTTTTCTTCCATTCCCTTAACTTTTATCCAAATATTCATTTGAGGGTAATTTGCAAATTTTAAATACTAACTTGATTTTTAAAAGAAATTTTTTTTATAAATTTAAAATTTTATTAAAAATTCAAAAATTAACTTTTAAAATACTTTTGAACAAATTTTGAAAAAATTACCCATCCAAATTTTCTCAAAAATCAATTAAAAGTGCTTTTGAAATCAAAGGAATTTAGCTATTTTTTCAGTTGAAAGTTACATATTTAAATTTAGTTTATTTTGCTATTTTTTCTTTTTATATTTTATATATATCATCAAAAGAATTTTTTGTGCTAATATCAAAATAATTATTTCTTGTAATAATTAATATGTACTACTCCCTTCTCTTGTCCCCTCCCTTCTTTTGCCCTAAATTTCTCCTCTTTTTCTTCTTTCTTACTTTCCCCTAACTATCAAGGGGGAGGGAGAGAGGCAGAAACTAGAGGTGAGAGTTCCCTCATCTCTTGTAAAGGTTTTTGCTTCTCTTTTGGAAGTTTCTCTCTCTTTTTTAAAGGTTCCTATCTTCGCTTTCTCAATGCTTTTTTTTTTTTTTGGTCAGAATTTAGTCTTGTCAGAGGAAGATGGCAACTTGAACTTGATATTAGTTTGGCGTAGATCAATTATTGTATTTGCTTCAACAATTGAAGGCATGGTTGGGGACAAGATCCCTAACTAATTTTTTTTTTCGCAAAGAACCAATTTATCTTTTATCTACATTGATTATGTTAGAATGTGATTTAACTATTAAATCTCAAGTTAAAATCTAGTTGTGATGTTCATGAAGGCATTAGATCATTTGATTTAGCATCTTCACACATTTTATGAGTGTTAGTACCTCTAGCATATTACCTCATTCGGTTTAGTAATGTAATCCTTATGGTTTTAATATAGGAAAATGATTAATATACCCTCTAGTTCAAACTTTTCTTGATACTCCCCCAGTTTAGCTATTAAAATATAATATAAATAGAACTAGTTTTTACATATTGTATTTATAACTATATTTTTAAGTTTGTTTGTCTTTAATTTCATATCAAAAAATAATTATTTTTAATAAGTTTATTGCATAATGTGTTGAATCAAAAGTGTACCAATCAATGTCCTTTAATATATCAATGAAATTCTATTTCTCAT